CGTGCCAGTAGACGTCAGTACTGTGATGAGGCACATATACTAGCCGACATCCCAACACATAATGAAGAATCTGATGCAAATCCAACTATACAACATACCTCACACTACGCATACCACTCAATACCTACATACCACAACCACCACTTCATGTCAGGACCTAGCCAACGGCAGTACATGGCTGGTCCTTCTCAGTACCAATTTATGCCAGGCCCTAGCCAACCATGTATGACTCCGGGCCAGTATTTTATGGCAGACACTAGTCACCAGTTCATGTCAGATGCTGAGGTTACTCCCAGTCCTATGCAACCTTTTATCACAGGTCTAGCTCAGGATGATATTGCACGACATATATCGTTTAGTCCACCATTCATGTCACCACCACCAAATAATCTATATCGACCATCACCAATACATATCCGAACTTCCACCTTTAATGATTCATCAAAGAAAGAGGAGGAGGAGCAGCACACACCTGTCCAACAGTAGGAAGTGGATGATCAAAACATGTATCAGCAGGAGGAGAAATGTGCACACCACAGACCTGTACTACAGATTGTATATCGTCGTTGTGCAACAGGGAGTCACCTTGTTGGGCCCAGACGCAACAGGCGTGGCTCATAGTCACATATGCTGGATAGTGATCTAATTTAGAATTTTAATTTCCTGCACTTTAAAATTTTAATTTTATGTATTTTGGAATTTAAATTTTATGCAATTTATAATTTAAATTATTTATCTTTTAAAATATTATTTTTACATTGATATTATTTAATTATTATATAAAAATATTAACAAATTTAATTAAAATTATATTTTTTAATTTGGATAAGAATTTTAAATAAATTATAAAATATTAACAAATTTTATTAAAATTATATTTTTTTAAATGAAAATTTATGTTGCAAAAGTCGATTATAATTGAGTTTAATTTATAAGACATATATGTAATTTATTATTTAAAATATTTTATTTTTGTAAAAAACTCGACTCAATAATATCGAGATAAAATTGAATCAACTTGACTTATAAATAAAATGTATTAATTTTGATATTATATATAGCTAAATTATAAAATTGATTAATATAAAATTAAAGTATGTTTTATTGTATAATCTTAAAATTAAATATAACAATTTAAATATGAAATTATGATATGTACATCTTTATCTATTAAATTTTGAAGTATTATTATTAATACATAAATACTTTAAAAAATATAAATTTTAAAAGAAAAAAAAAAGAACTAGGTTAAGATAAGTCAAATTATAAACTGAATCTTTCTTGAAAATGCACCCATTATAATTTTTAAAAAACAAATCTGTTAAAATTATCATCTTTACCTTATCTTATTATAAAAACTTACCAATAAATATCTTCAACTTGAGATTCATAGAAATTAAAATCCTAAACACAATATTTTGTGTAAAATAACTCATACAAAACATAAAATAGACACAATTTCCGACTTTTTTATTTGACCACCGTCTTAAGACTCAAGTAGAGTAGCACTACTAATATATCAAAATTTTTAACGTAGTTATTTTCTTAGGACACAAATTACTTAGAGACAAATAGTTAAACTTTACTCTATTAATACATTATTTACTTAAAACTTTATACAAAATTCATTGAGGTTGGGTATTGAACTTTTACCTGGTAAAAAGATTTAAAATGAGTAAGCTCAGTTATAAAATAGAGATAAAGTCATACTTACATTCTTCATCCTATAGTAGAAGCTTAAGCAGTTGAGTAGAGAGAGATCATTATAGATACCAATCACCTTTGTAGAGAGAGTAGTCACCTCTGTAGAAAAAATAAAAAGTCATTCTATACAAACTCAAAGCAACTTTGATAAGTTATTCACTTTTAGATTAAACTGAAAATTTTTAGACGTGTAGTTTTTTGCTTTAAAAGGTTGAATCATTGAAACGAAATAAGATTTGTAGTACCATTAATAATGTTCACATAATAACTTTATTTTTTGATATTTTCATCTTTTTAGGTGTCAATTTGTAAACTTTGTTGTTGAAATTAATTGATTGATTGTAAGTATAATTTGTGCAATCATTTGTGACTTTTTTTTACCATTATTAATCATCATAGAGTTATTTCTTTAATATAGACAAATTGTTATTTTACCTTTAATATTAAAAAAAATTAAATATTAAACCACTTCATACCTATTTTTATTTAATTTATTATTTTTAGTTGTTATAATATTTGTTATTATTCTCAATAGATTCGTGCAAGGTGAAAATTTAATTCCGCATTATTATACATTATTGTATTTGTATTGATATTAGCCATCAATTCATCTATGAGACAATTCCTTTTCTACATTCAATATTTCTTATCAAAAAACGACTTATATGTATTAAAAATAAAAAGGATGAGGTAAGTATCCACAACGTCAATAATAAAATTTAATTAAGTTGCATATACAACTTTGTCCATTTTTCAACGGATTAGGATCCTCTATACTGCAGTATTCGACGGAGCATAACAGTATCATGTGTTTTACAAAAGAAAAACACATAATAAGTCTTTATATAAATAATATTAAATTTAATTATAATTATTTTATAATATTCTTTTTGATGATATAATAATATTTGTTATGTTCTATACTTAAACAAAAGAATCCAAGTCTAATTCGAATAATCACGACTTAGAATTTATTGCCATGCACAAAATGACTATGAACATGTTTTTCACTCCGCCGAAATTAGCAGGAATCACAAAGAAACCAGGGAAGCATTTCTCACTACAAATTCAATTTTTCTGTCTCTGACATTTGACAATGCATCTTCCAATTCATTTGCTTGGTTCTTATTGAATCATCCTAACTCTGATGAGGTTGATGAGGATGTATTCAGGTTTGTTCATTGTGCTGGCAATGCCAATCTATATATACTTTTAAAGTTTTATTTCAAAAAATACAAAAATAATCCATAAAAATTAATAACAAATCTTGAATTTAGAAAACCAGATAGAATACATTTGTTAAAGAAATAAACCATTTAAATTCATCCATTGACTAAAATAGGACTTATATATACACATACGATAAGTATAATTGTCATTTAAGCCGTGTAGCTCCTACTAAAATAAGAGTCTCTCTAGAGAATCGATTTAAAAATTGGATTTTTTTAATATTAAAAACTATGTTAAAATATATAAAAAATTATAAAAATATATTAACAGTATTTTATTTTTTTAATTCTTTAATCAACATGTTTAAAACGCATATTAGCAATTTTGAAGAAATAAAATAAGTGCGACCCAACTACACTTTGAAAGTGTCCCAGGAAACAGCAATGTGAACTCCTTCGGGATATGTTGTGCGTAGGTCTTCGACCGACCTATTACATGGGACATATAGATTTAGTTGTCAACAACAAAGAAAAAAAATAGCGAAGCACTTGAAAATCAAAAGAGAATTTTAATTATATAATATGTGAATTCATAAAAAAGCATTTTATTGTAATTCTATATAAAATAAATAAATAAATTACAAAGGTAGAATAACTGACAAATAATAATTTGTCGTTTAGAAGAGAGAAGTTGTTTGGTTCACATAAATAGCCTCAGTAAGCCAAGATCTCCCATTTATAGTGTTTCAAAATCTAGAACAAACATAGGATACAAACGTTGGACAAAGGTGAGGTAAAATTTTCATCACTATTAAGACTCGAGACTAGTCCCAAAACTATGCTTGCATGAATAATCGTTTTCTATTTAAAGATAAAAAATACTTATCAAACATTATATTTCTCCAAAGCAATAATAATGTCATCACTGCATTATCCTTCTCTCGCCGTAAAATCTAATAAAAAAAATAGAAGAAACGAATTTTACAGAGAGTTTTACTTTTCACGAAAATCAATATATGAAACTGGGATGCTACTCCGTTGAAGATCATCCCTTGCATCTAAATTGGTTACAAAATTATCCTGAAGATAATTAAATAATAAAAACCATAGAGGCAAGTTAATAATATGTTTGTGACTATAAACATAAGTTTTTCTCGATGGTGAGATTAGCAATAGAAAGTTAATGAAAAGAAGTGAAAGAGTTAAGTGGGGAATTGAATGATTTTCCTAACATTTGCATCATCCGTGCTTGCTTTAGGAATAAGAGGTAGTTCCATTACTAAGTTCAAAGATCATGGGTGAGAAAATGAAAAACTTGTACAATTAATGTCACTCAATTTGGACTTTGCTTCTGATGCACACGTTTTGGTCTACCCCTGGTGGGGACATTTTCATTGACTAAGATGGAATTACATATCAACATCATCTATCAGTCTCATACGCAAAAATTCGTTTTGGTCATGCTCTTAGACCACATCAAAATATGGAAGCACACAAGCAGTCAGGTTCAGAGTAACGTAGATTTAACTCGTTGTTGACCATGTCATAATATAACAAACCCTTTAGATGTAGCAATTTTGGTGCACGCCTTTGAGCCAATAAATAGTCTACTATTAGTTTATTTGGATATGCATTAAATTTATCGGATAAGTGCGTCTAAGATTCAGAAGCTAGTATTGCTAGTCATGCAAGCTAGTTTGCATAACCTTCAGATAATATAAACTTAACCCGCGAGTTCTTGAACCAAATCATTAACCCATAAAGCATTAAAAATATCAATTTTAGTATTTTAAGTTTTAATATTTTTAAATATTATATATATATATATATATATATATATTTAACAGCTAAAAAATTAAAAAAAAAGACCCGTGTAAGATTATTATTATATATAAATCCATTTAAATACCCGCTTATTCACCTGTAGCCTATAATTTAGACACAGGATTCCAATTAATAGTAATCTGTCGTTGGATCAAATATAACTTCCTAAGTTTTAAGTATCGCTTAATTCCAAATTTATGCATGTCCTTTGTCCTCACATTAGGAGTGGACAACGGTCCTTTCTCCTAAACTTATTTTGTAGAAAGTAAATAATTAAATTTCAGTGTAGATAACCAAAAATTGAGATTCTAGCAAATTAATTGGCACCATCATTTATTTGACAACTGCAACTTGCACTTATATTATTTATATACAAACATCTTTGTATTATACTGGGTGAATCATGATGCTTTGTACATAGCGGGGGAATGAAAAACTGAACCCCATAGCATCTCTTTTATGACATGACCTCCAGTGCTTCTCTGGTTTGTCCAAGTAAATTGAAAACTGTTGCTGCTATGTGAGATGGTGTAAGACCAGCTTGAAACAATTGGTCAGCAGGTGATCCATGGTCAATGTAACAATCAGGAAGAACCATTGGCCTCCACTGCAGTTGTAAATCAAAGCCAAATGAGTTTTCACCAACTAGTTAAATGTTCATAGAAACTTCATAAATGTGCATATTTCACAGCATAATATGATTAAAATAAGATCCATACCTTCAGTTTTCCATCAAGAAGGCCATCAAGGGCCATGAACTGAGCAACATGTGAACCAAATCCTCCTATTGATCCTTCTTCTACAGTGATCAAAACCTCATGTGAATTTGCAAGGCTGCGAATAAGGGAACGGTCCAATGGCTTGCAGAATCGTGCATCGGCCACAGTTGCATGCAAGCCATGATGTTCCAACAAGGAAGCAGCAGCCGCACAGTTCTGAACAGCTGCTCCATATCCCAACAGGGCCACTCTTTCCCCTTCAATCAATATCCTACCTTTCCCAATCTGTTTACAATGTCATAAGACAAATGTCAAGTTCATTAGTGTAATTGTTCCTAATCGTCAGTACCTCTATAATTCTAACTCACCTCAAGAGGAGTGCCTTTATTCCCTGGTGGTAGTTCCACACCAACACCATTTCCCCTTGGAAATCGTAAACAACTTGGTCTATCATCAATGGCAGCAGCAGTGGCAACCATGTGAAAAAGCTCGGCTTCATCAGAAGGAGCCATCACCACCATGTTAGGGAGGCATGCCATAAAATTAACATCAAATGAACCAGAGTGTGTGGGACCATCTGCTCCAACTAATCCTGCTCTGTCCATCGCAAATCTTACAGGCAATTTCTGCAAATCCACGTCATGCACCACCTAGGAATAGACACGGAACACACCCTTAGCATTGACAACGAAGTTAGAAGTTATATACTAATCATGTGTTGATCATTGCTAATTCATCATGCTTACCTGGTCATAAGCTCTCTGCATGAATGATGAGTAAATAGCACAAAAAGGCTTAAGGCCCTCACAAGCCAGACCCGCAGCAAATGTAACTGCATGTTGTTCTGCTATCCCCACATCAAAGCATCTAGTTGGGAAACGACGAAGGAAGGCATTCATACCAGTTCCACCTCCCATTGCAGCATGAATTCCAACAATGCCTTTGTCAGCTTCAGCTTCTGCAATCAATGCATCCGCGAAGTAACTTGAGTATGACTTGGTAGCAGCTGTGGCCTTGAATTGTTTTCCAGTTGCTGGATCAAACTTGGCAACTCCTGCAAAATCAAACCACATTATTTAAACTGTCATGAATATAGCACGTTAAAGATTAATTACGCTTTCAATAGAAATGTGTGCTTTCTATGGAAATAACAGAATAGATATGGTCCTTGAATCTTTTCTTAAAGTTGATTAATTATGCTTTTATCCAGGCATCGTGGTCCATTCTTAGATAGAATGCACAAAACATGATAAATTTATACGGCCAGTCATGAAGAAAATCAAGAAACGTGTAACTCCTCTTTTACCATGGTACTTGTCTGCTGCTCTTTCTGCATATGGGTATCCGCGGCCTTTTTCTGTGACAACATGAATCAGTACAGGACCAGTTGTCTTAGTGCTTTTAACTTCTTTGAGAATGGCAACAAGATCATAGATGTTATGACCGTCAACAGGACCAATATAGTAAAGTCCAAGCTCTTCAAAAAGTGTTGATCCAGAACCGCTGATCATGCCACGAGCATATTCATCAACCTTTGCAGCCAACTCATGCATTGGGCCACCAATTTGTTTAGTGACTCCCTGCAAAATTCTCATTTTGTACAGAATCAATTTCAATAAGACTTTGCAGATGCACAAATCCTTCATTAGTAGACATGAATCGAATCGCTCACCTTGGCAACCTCTCTCAGTTCTCTAAGAGGTCTGTTTGATTGTAACCTACTGAGAGCACTACTTAAAGCACCTACAGGTGGTATGGGACCATCAAGAGTTGCAGTTGGTAGAGAAACCTGTTTGTTGTCATTAAGAATAACAATCATGTCAGAATCAAGATATCCAGCGTTGTTCATGGCTTCATAAGCTTGACCAGCGGTCATGGCACCATCACCAATGACAGCAACTACGTTATTCCTTTCTCCCTTCAGATCCCTCCCAACAGCCATTCCTGTTTGGCAGAAAAAATGTCGAACGATTAAATCCAAATGACAAAATCCTATTGTGCATTACTGTCAAGCAATGATAGAACTGTAGCAAAGTATTATCTAGGAGACATAAAACCATTCTTAGGCCAACAGCTTAAGTTTTTAGGAGAGAGAATACTTTTGACAAATGACTCAACTGAATGAACTGATTGACTGAATTATTAGTCAATATTTAAAAAAAAAAAAAGTGATTTATTGAAATTAAACTCAATCTTAATCTCCAATTGAACTCTTAGGAGTTGACCCCTCTTTAATTGTGAGTTTCAGCTAAGGCCTGAAAAATTCCTATGTTAAAACTCAAATGAATAGCAAAATGGAGAATTACCGAGTCCTGCTGACATTGTTGTAGAGCTGTGACCAGTTCCAAAACAATCAAATTCACTCTCAGAGCGTTTTGTAAACCCAGATAATCCATTTGTCTGTCTTATGGTAGGCATCTTATCCCTTCTACCAGTGAGAATTTTATGCGGATAAGACTGCAAAATTCACACAAAATTGTATAATTGAGGCCAAGTTCCATTCCTAAGAAAAACAATTGAAGTACCAAACTACAAAAGAAGAGAAAACACACAACCTGATGACCAACATCCCACAAGATTCTATCTTTAGGAGCATTAAAAACATAGTGGAGGGCAACAGTGAGTTCCACGACACCAAGGCTTGATCCTAAATGACCCCCAGTTTTAGAAACATGGAAAATCACATCAGAACGCAGCTCATCCGCTAGTTGTTTCAGTTCCTGTATCAACAGTGTACTTGTTACAAGAATCAAATTTTCACTTAACCATAATGATACTTTTTCCCCCTCGTTTCACATCAAGCAGCACAAGTAAAATGCTTTCAGTTATTTTTACCTTGGTAGTGAGATTCTTCATGTGAATTGGATAGTTAATTGTGTCCAGTAGTGGAGTTGGTGGTTTCTGAGAATGATACTCTCCCGCCGTCTCTGATAGCGATGCACAAATCCCATTTGGCCTTTTCCTCACCTACATCAATTTCAGAACATGACAACCATTTTTCTGTCACCAAGTCCCATCAAAATTTTCATGCTCGAAAATAACAACAGAATGAAATGAAACTTAAAAAATTTCTAATAAGAACAAAACCCAACAAATAAATTTTTGTAATGAGAAAAAAACGAATGAGCATGCGATTAAGCAAAGTTGAGTTCAAAAGTTCTAGTCTTTGGATCAATTCCCTTAATGGGTATGCCTGCATGCACGCAATTATGTTGAGTTCATGTGAATTACATGAACAAAACATCATCTAACCTGGCTGAGCCTGCGTTGGGATAAGCATAGCAGATCTGCACCCCAATGAGAGTGAGAACGAAGAGGAGTTGATCTTGTAGCATCAGAAGGTGTTACTTTTCTCAAATGGAGAGGGAATGAGAGTGCACAGAGAGCCATTAGAGAAGAAACACAAAAAAGTTGCAGAGAAAGAGAGTATCAGAGTGAATGTGTGTAACTGTGTTAGTAAAAAGGTGGAAGAAAGCCTCTACTCCACAGTTCACAGCATTAAGTGGCAACGTTGAACAATGAATAAATAAGGAAGGAGAAGACGTGTGTGGTGGAGAGAGAGTGGGAACCGGGAAATTAAATGAAGGGAATAAGGTTGTTTGGTAAGAAGCTTTTTAAAAAAAAAATATTTTAAAATTTTTAATTAATTAATTAATTAATTTTTTATTTATTTTTCTAAATTTTGACATTCAATGTGCTTGTGAGTGGAAGCAGTGAATTATCCCATTGGGCCACGACCTTAATGGATAGATTCATAGATAAATGACTGCTGAATATCAAATATGAAATGCAATGCAGAATACGATAAAGATTCATATCCTTCATGCTATACAGAAATTAGATGTTCTTAAATTGTTCAGTAGTATAATATAGTTATATTAAAAAAGAAAAAAATTATTAAATGAAATTTATCATAATAAAAACTATATTTTTACATTAATCATATTAAATTCACTGCATCCCAATCCCTGTAAATAAGGGTGATACACAGAGCCATTGTCTTTTTCTGAATTTTTAGTTTTTAGATAATACCATAATAAATTGTCAGTTTGTTTGTTTCAGTAAATAACATGCAACACTGCAACGTGTCGTTATAAGTTATCCTTATGGTAATTTGCTTGTTACGTGTTAATGTATATGTAATTTTAGTTTTTTTAATTTTATTTAACTTTAAAATTTTTAATTAATAAACTGAATTTTTATTTAAAATAAATATTTTATTATATTTTATATTCAATTTAAATATTTATAAAATCAAAAAGACTAAATATAGATAATTAAAATGAAGGACCAAAATTGCATATATATTAAAATAATTTGTATAACACATATAAAATAAAATAAAATATTCTAATTGTTACATTTATTTATTACATTCTTTTATCATAAGAATAAATTTAATAATTTTTTAAGAAAATTAAAAGCATGTAGTGTAAATTTTTATATAGAAATTTTTTATTAAAAATTATCACATATCTCAAAATTTAATGTGTCAATGATTTAAATATTATAATTTCAAAAAATAATATATTTATTATATTTCTATTTGTCTCATTAAATATATGCTAAAAAATCATAAATTTAATACTTTTAATTAACCATTGCTTTTAAAAATAATTTGATTACAATTTAAAAAATAAATAAGTTCAAATATGCATTGAATATGTATCTATTAAATACCCATCTCTCTCTCTCTCTCTCCCTCTCCTTCAATGTTCAAGGTTATGCATTTATTTCTGATGCATTAATTTTTATCATTAATTTGTATTATGATATAAATTGAACTTCATTGTGATATTAATGTTAAGATTTTTATATTATACCAATTAAAATAAAAATTTAATGTAATTTTTATATTAATTAATATAAAAATTAAGAATTTTAACTAATATAACAATTTATAAGTGGATGATATATAGTATAATTTTTTATACTATTAGTGTATTTAAGTTAAATTCTTAAAATATATTTATTCATATTTAATTATTAATGTTACATGTTTAAATAAAGTTCTTGCTAATTGATATTTAACATACATATAATCATAAATGTATTAACTAAAATAAGATAGTTATTGCCAATATTTGAATGCCATCAATTAAGAAATTAAATGATATCATATTTTTTAAATATTTATTGTAAAATTCTTTTATAAATTGTATCTGCTGTGGAAATTTTATTTAAATTAGTGTTTATTTAATTTAAAATAAAATTGAATTATAAACGTATAAAATAATCAGAATATTTAATTATAAACGTATTTTAAAATTCATACAAAAGTTATTGACAAGGAAGGATAAGTGCTCAAAAGTATGGATCATCAGATTAATAAAACCCATCGCAGGTAAAGATATTAGTAAATCAAATGCATCAACTATCTGAAAAATTGTGGCACATCGTTGAAAAGAAAAAAGTATGATTTGTTTATAATTATATTAATAAAAATAAACAATAGAACGGTTATATTCTTTTCTATTCTCCTTGAGTATAGAAAGAAACGTAAATATTCTTTTTTTAAAAAAATATTCTATTCTTTATGTATGAATGGCTAGTGAGTTTATAAAAATTAGTTTGCATAATTATAATATAAATTTATTAATTACAACAATAACAATAATAGCGTTATTATTATTATTATTATCATTATGTAGTACTTAAAAGAATAAAATGACATATTTAAACTATTAAAAAAATGATTTTATGTTTCAAAGAAACCAAAACAATTTCATTTAGAGGGTTATGGAAAATAAAATTAAGTTACATGGCCACTTGAATAGGTTTTAGCTTATCCTAAACCTATTTTTTTAGGTAAAACTAATTAAATTTAGATAAAAATAATAATATTTTAGTAAAAAAAAAAAAAAGTCCTACATTCTAATGAATATATTTGAGCTAATTTATTTTACTAGCTCTCTAAGATAAGTTGATCAATGATCCCCTATGTTATTTTTATTGACATATATATCCATAATAAGACGTGGCTCAAACCAGTGACATGAATCATCAAAATCATTCTCAAAAGAAACCTATATAAAACACATTGTTAATAAAAGGGTTTCACATGTAGATTTTATACTCGAATTTGAATCTCATCTATTTGACTTTTTAAATAAATATTATTGATGACAATGTTAAAAGAAAGGAACACATTTAAGAGATGTATGAATAAAGAAAAAAAAAAAAAGGGTTTGCTACAATATACAATAAGTTTGTTTTAGTGTGAAACATCACAAATAAGATATTTTTCTCACCAAGTACTTTTCTGGAAAGAAAAATATTTCTCTTATTGCAAATTTTTTCTTAAAAATATAGTTATTTATCAATAAATTTTTTTAAAAAGATAAAACATTAATGATGATTCAATAAATAACATTAATTTATCACAAATAATAAAATATTTTGACATGAAAATATCATTCTTCAGATTTTAACCCTTCTAAAATGAGGTTTTTTTTTTTTTTTTATGTAATATTAGTTATAGATTAAAATTGTTTCCTTCATTGTCTGCTCTTTCATCTATCTTATCATCAAGTTTTTTCCTTTTCTTTTTTCTCATACTTTATAAAAAAAAAAAAAATCATGCATGCCTTGTTATTTAGGACTAACTAAGAACAATAGTAAAATCCAGAAAATCAAAATATTCTTAACACATCATATCCACTAGAAAAGGAAATTAATTTGTCAATTTGTTTAAGTTATCGACCTTGTCCCCCGCTATCCAACCACCTTTTTTGGCTTATTACCTTGTTTGCAAGAGTACTATATTATTTTTTTATTCCTCTAAATTGTTTAAAAGAAAAGGTCAATAAGGTGCACAATCCTTGTCTTACACTTTCATTTGACAATTTTATTATATTAATATTTGATGAAATTATTTATCTAATTCGTTTTTAATAGTTTATTACAAAATCAATTTAATTATATAAACCACTGTATATACCATATATGATTAATAAAGTGATCTGTCACAAATTTTTGCTTTTACTTTTATTAATATCTTATTCCATTTCTTTTTACCATTTTATTATTTTTACTGTCGATGACTGTTTTTAATGTAAACTAAAAATTGAAGACATTTTTAAGGCGCGAAATTACTGCCCTTAGTTTTTTTAACTTTAACTTTATTTGATTACAATACCAAAAGTTATATATATTGATAAATTAAATGTTAGTTTTAATATTTAGATTGTTAATCAGGTGCGGCGAAAAGGGTGATGCCATTAAAGTCTATTTTAGATCTTAATTATATTTTTAACTAGTGACTTTTTTACATAGGTATTATCAAATTATAATATTTTTTAAATCATTAATTAAAAATATATTTTATAATTAAATTTAATAAATTGAATATAATATTTAATAATAAATAAATAAATTATTTTATTAAATAAAATTAAATAAAGATATAGGTTTTTAATTAAAAATGTAAAAAATTCAAAATTTAAATTCTTATTAACTTAAAAATGTTTGATGTAACATAATAAAAAAGGAAAACAACTTTTAAAATGTTCATGTTTGAGAAAGATTTGAAAAATATGATTGTTTAGGAATTTGTATTCACAAATTATATATAGTTGTTAATTAATTGTAATAATATTTGATTTTTAAGAATTAAAGTTTTTAATTAATTATTTTTCCTTGAAAATAATAAATTCATCATCTTATTATGATTCTCTTATTAATTATTTTACTGATTCCATTATATTATTTAATATTACAAGCATTGATCAAGTGTATTAAAATATTGATTACTCAATTTGTTATTTACCTATTGCAGTTCAGAAATATTATAAATGTTGTTTTTTTTCTCCAAATTTAAGTATTTTTTAGAATTAAAAGTTTTTAAAAAATCCTATACAAGTGAAAAATATACAAAATTTGACATGCTTAATTATACAAGAAGACTTTTAAAAAATTTAATATATTACTTATATTGAATAATTATTAAATAGAAGGAAAAATTTCAAAAGTGAAATGAATAAAATATTGTCTAAAATTATTGAATAATATTAATTGATTTGACTTTATTATCAATTGAAAAAATTGAATGAAATTCTTTATGGTAATTTAATAATTACTAGTTTTTATTTTAAAATAAGTAAAATAAAAAAATAATTAATTAATTTAAAAACAACTTAGGTTCTTTGCCATCCATACGTGTAAGCTACAGAATGTGCATTTCCTTACTCTGATATGTCATACAATTTTATCATTTATATATAATGAAATACACATTTTCATCAATTGGGTATAATACACTTCATCATATCTTTTGAGATTCTAACCGAAATTTCTCGTTGATGTTGTCTTTTGGAGTGTTACTTTTTTTTGGAATTTATTCCCTTCATTAAAAAAGTAAATAAGTGTTAACTTTTTGTTTCGATGAACTTTTTGACGTAAAAATTTAATATTTTTCAAAAAATATTACAACGCATTTGATAATGAAATTTAACCTTATCTAAATTTAATATAGGCTAGTGAAGCCAATTATTATTTC